CCCTGAAGAATCACCTAGGGATTCTGGAAGGATTTCTATCACAAAAACTGTTCGGTGCAGCCAATATGACTTTAACTTTCACAATATATTCATGATATTCTCTTAAAAACTAATGAACATTAAACAAATTTATTCCCAAATGCCTCGTCATGAAAAATATATTTCCATAATAATTGCCTTCGCCTGCATTTGATACGTTATCGGATCTCTCTGGAAAACACCAATGTATTTATAGCTGAGCAAGAGTGTCAATCTCTTGCTCTGCATGTCAAATCTGTTTATGTAAATTTTTTGACATTTCATTTATGAAGCATAAAATTGCTCTATTATTTGAATCCGGCTTAATTTTTTGTTAATAGATTTACAGTGATTGCTTTCCAACGTTATATATATATATATATATATATATATATATATATATATATATATATATATATATATATATATATATATATATATATATATATATATATATATATATTTTTTTTTTTTTTTTTTTTTTTTTTTTTTAAAGTTTGTGAGGGTACCACCTCTGGTGCCAATGTGGGGACCCATAGCCTCGGAGAAGAAAATAAAAAGTATTCAGAGGAGACCTTGTGGTCTCTCACTGAACACTAATATTATCTTCTCCTACCACCCCTATTCTTTTGTATGTAGACATATATATTTACTTTATTTGAACTTTGTTACAAAAAAGGAGTTACATATGGGTTACTATATATATATATATATATATATATATATATATATATATATATATATATATATATATAAATATATATATATATATATATAACGTTGGAATATATATAATATGTATAATATAACGTGTATATATATATATATATATATATATATATATATATATATATATATATATATATATATATATATATATAATATTTTGTATATTGTAAAACATGGTATATTGATAAGCCATGTGTCTTATATATGGGTTATATTCGTAGTGTTGGTAAGCTATTAAGTAAGCTATGTATCTTAAATACATAGTGTTGCTAGTTCTTAGGAGTCTGTAATATATGTTTCACATGAATCATATATGCTATCTACCTTATAGATATTTGTTTCTGGATGAGCATATCTGCTGGAACAATGAGATCAGCACTCTTGCGATGAATATACATTATGTATATACCAATGTACAGTATACTTGATTTCAAATTAATAACTGAAATATGATCTATACCCGCCAGTAGCCAATCAGAAAGCGGCAAGAATGGAGTAAAAGAAAACGAGAATTCATTCCAGCCCCGACTACAGCGAGGAGAGCTTAACGTCAGCACCTGCTGTTTGTCTCAATCAATTCCTTTTGGACCGGCGAAGGTAGGTCGCTCTGGACCACAAAGATGTTGTCACTGATTACCGCTAGAGGATCTATTAGGACCATTTGTCACTTTAAAGGCTTTATTATGAGAATAAAGGGCTTGACCCAGAGTTAGTCAGAAGGCGTGACTATTTGGAACTGGCGAAAGAGCCGTTTGTCGCGCTGAAAATATTACATTTCTTCGTGAGAGACAATGGACCTTATACAGTCACGGGGACAATGCCTGAAGACGTCTTTACGGAAAGAACAACAAATCAATGCGGAAAAATGTGATGGGTCGAAGGGACGTCAAGGAATGTGAACCAGTCATAGGACTTTCATACTGGACGATGTCACGCCCGTGACGTGGGTGGGGGACAGCGATAATCCAGGGGCCAGATTCATGAAGCAGTTACGCAAGCACTTACGAACCTGTACATCTTTTCTCAATTTTTGGCGGCTTTGTTTACAATTATTATCCAGTTAATGAGCTGAGAAGCACCAGGAGGCTGTTTATAACAACAACAACAGTTGATTGGGAAGTTTTCATGCTTGTAAATTGTTTAATAAATGTAACCAAAGGCGTCAAAGATTGAGGAAAGATCTACACGTTCGTACGTACTTGCGTAACAGCTTCGTGAATCTGGCCCCAGGTGACTACTGTGCTGAGATTAGTCGGAATACTCTTTCTTTTTCACCAATTTGTCAAGCTTGGTCTTGCCCTGTTTGGGTGATTCACCGAAAGTGCTCGCTAGGTATCTTATCTTGAGGTTATCTTGAGATGATTTCGGGGCTTTAGTGTCCCCGCGGCCCGGTCCTCGACCAGGCCTCCACCCCCAGGAAGCAGCCCGTGACAGCTGACTAACACCCAGGTACCTATTTTACTGCTAGGTAACAGGGGCATAGGGTGAAAGAAACTCTGCCCATTGTTTCTCGCCGGCGCCTGGGATCGAACCCAGGACCACAGGATCACAAGTCCAGCGTGCTGTCCGCTCGGCCGACCCGCTCTTAGAGCACAGAACAGTTCTCGTTATGACTGCTTTTGGCGGATAAGACTGTGATTAACGAAGTGTTTTTATCCACAAGTGTAACAAATGTTATGTATATATCTCGCCCATGAGAGACACGAGAGTGCAAAATGTAGAATATTAATATGTAATATAAATATACACATTGAAATATTTTTCAACTGAAATAATAATAATAATAATAATGAAGGAAAGTTCCAATATATGTGTATTAAAAAAAAAAATAGGATGCAACCTACATCATTTCTCAAGATGCTGTATTCAGTATTCTGAACTTCCTTCAAAAATGCATGCAGTGGCTTGAGAAAGAATGTACATCTGAAAATTAGGTTTCTAATACACTTACACCTAATGTATTTTGCCTTCACCTTCATTCAAGCACTATGGCATTGTAGTAAGTTTCTGAATAATAATAATAATAATAATAATAATAATAATAATAATAATAATAATAATAATAATAATAATAATATTTGAAGGTTTTCACATTGCATTAAAATTAATAAAGCAAATACATTGCAGCAAAAGAAAGCCAAATAAAACAAATACATTTGCAGCAAAACGAAAATTGTTATGTTAATATTGATGGTGAAATATCTGAAGAAAAACCAATAGAGCAATAACTATAAGTATATTCATATTTTTGTTTAAATGAAATGATTATAGTCACTACGAAAATTGTAATAATTCCACATTCGGACAAATTTTGGAATTGTTCAGTAATAAAATATCGAATAATTTTTCAATTCAAACATTGCCAGGTAATTTAGCAGTCATTTTATAACATTTTCATGTAAGTTGAGACATCCAATCAGTCCAACTTTATATATATATATATATATATATATATATATATATATATATATATATATATATATATATATATATATATATATATATATATATATATATATATATATTTGTTTTACGTTCCTTGTTTTGTGGTGTCTCATTGTCTGAGCTTAGCTCTGTCTGTCTGGCTGTCTAAGCTTGGCTCTGTCTATTTGGTTGTCTAAGCTTGGCTCTGTCTGTCTGGTTGCAAGGCTGGGTGTCTCAGTCTGTCAATCTATCTCCGTATAACTGTATGCCTGACTGCAAGTCGAGCTCTCTGAATCTAGGTCTGCTGACTGTCTGTTAAGACAGGCTTGACACCCAGGCAAGATAAAGCTTTCCTGCATACAAGCTGTGCTGTCTGAATCTGGCTTTGTCTGTCTATCTGGGTTTAAGACCAGACTATCTATCTGTTTGACTATTAGACTATCGCCTGTTTGACAGTGTAAGTATCTTGAAGTCTCGCCTCTGGGTATGCCTCTATCTATCAGTTTGGCTGTCTGAAGTCTTACTGTTTGGCTTCCTGTCTGTATATGGAGCTCTCAGTATGTTTGAAACTGTTATGGTTGTAAACTCATATACATCTATGAATATAGATACTGAATTAAATTAATTTCGGTAAATTAACTTCCATCCACACAGGATGGTGAAGTGATCATCTTTTATGATTTATGAGACGGATGGTCATCTTTTAGGTGTCTTGGCTGGGGAGTATAGTGGCTCACATCTGTTGAACATTGACCCGGGGACGGTTCTTCTGATCTATGTAGTTTGAGCCCTTGTGTGTGTGTGTGTGTGTGTGTGTGTGTGTGTGTGTGTGTGTGTGTGTGTGTGTGTGTGTGTGTGTGTGTGTGTGTGTGTGTTTTATTAAACACCATCATAATGAATGTTACAAACTGCATAATTCGTATCATAACATTTACAAATGTCTGGTAAAGGCTTTATGTATGTTTGAACTGCGATCCTTAGACATCCCGGACGACCTATCTAAACTTGTCGGGATTGCTAACCTGTTGTAATGACAGATTAGTTGGGTTAGTAGGTTTAAATCAAATTGACCTCCTGTTTAGCACCCAAACTCTACAATTTCTATTATCAAATCAAGCAATGTTCCTACCATTCCTACCATTTTCATGGTGTTTTAAACTTGGTGATCCAGAAATTGATAGGAATGTTCCACTCAATTTGGGTACGTCTCTTTAAATTTCACTGCCACTTACTTTAATAAATTTGTCTGCTGCCAACCAGCCCTAGAAAAGTCATCACGAATCTACATCTCATTCTTCACGGTCGTTATGTAATATTAACTATGAAATTTGACGAGATATTCGTAAGTTTATGGATCTAGCAGTTCATTTGCTAGACAAGGGTTCTGTTGTTAGATTCTTCTATATTGGGTTTAATCGACTGTATGGGTAAGTTAGACAGACTTCGTGTGTGTACGGATTCCATGCTGGTGATGCATATTCAAATGTAGGGTCTCACCTTCACTGTATATATATATATATATGGCCCGGAATGCCTCTTTATCCACGTTTCTGGGTGATACACGGACGTTGGCCAGTATGCCATATACAACTGTTTTTATTCTGATAATGTGGGCTTCTGGCATCAGATTTGGGTTTGTGATTGTAAGTGTGTGTGTGTGTGTGTGTGTGCACACGCGCGTGTGTAATACTATCAACTCTCTATAGCACTCTTGAATGCTTCGAATTACATTCCATTAAACTCGATCAGATTAAATTCCATTAAACTGCATTACCTGATGCGGCCATTACTTCGTATGAGTTTGGAGCACTGATGATTCTTTTTAATATTTCCAGAACAGCCAGACACCGGCCCACTGGAGGACGATGGTGTTCACACGTCTAGGATACTTGCTGCTGCTTACGTGGGGTGAGTAGGGTGTGTGTGTGGGCGTGTCGAGGTGAGTAGGGTGTGCGGACGTGTCGAGGTGAGTAGGGTGTAAACCTGTTTGAAGCTTGTGTCACACGGGCTAAGGTTGAATGTGATAACATGACAGGACTCACTTCAACTTCACTAATGCCCAAAAACAAAACATCGATAGAGTGTTTCAAGCGTAGCTTAGACATATATGTGAAGGAGTTTGGTTGGACGTAAATAGGAACTGTTTCGTATGAGCGAACACATGCCTTCTGCAGCTTCATATTATATATTATATATATATATATATATATATATATATATATATATATATATATATATATATATATATATATATATATATGTCGTACCTAGTAGCCAGAATGCACTCCTCAGCCTACTATGCAAGGCCCGATTTGCCTAATAAGCCAAGTTTTCCTGAAATAATATATATTCTCTAATTATTTTTTATGAAATGATAAACCTACCTATTTCATTATGAGGTAATTTTTTTTTATTGGAGTTAAAATTACCGTAGACATATGACCGAACCTAACCAACCCTACCTAACCTAACCTAACCTATCTTTATACGTTAGGTTAGGTTAGGTAGCCGAAAAAGTTAGGTTAGGTTAGGTTAGGTAGGTTAGGTAATCGAAAAACCATTAATTCATGAAAACTTGGCTTATTAGGCAAATTGGGCCTTGCATAGTAGGCTGAGAAGTGAGTTCTGGCTACTAGGTACGACATATATATATATATATATATATATATATATATATATATATATATATATATATATATATATATATATATATATATATATATATATATATTATCATGATCTAATGCTCAACACAGTAGCAACTGGGCAGGATTGTTTTAAGAGGGATAAATTATGGTTAGAGGGCGGGAGGAATCCATTTGCTTACGACACCCCCAGAAACTCTAATTGCTTGGATTAAACAAGCAGTTATTTCCATAGCACGAAGGCCATCAAATCCCTGAGCACTCAACTGCCCCTCTGCCAGAAAGATTCGTATTGCTTTTAATCCTTGTATATGCTTTTCGTATTTTTACACAGCAGTAATGGCATGTGAAAGTTTGTCAGATGTTCCTTGGACGACATATGTATATTCATGCATATATGCATAATATATGTACTAGTATCATTCGGGAAGAGTTTAAACAAATAGATTAATGAATACATACATGCATACATTAAGGGGTACATGAACATTTATGCACTTTCACATGTATGCACTTTATACATGCATGCATGCACGCACACACCCACACACACAAACACACACACACACACACACACACACACACACACACACACACACACACGGCACAAAAGTCAGAGGGAAGATCCCCCAAAACTTGATGTACTTCCTCATCCAGAAATGTTGGGAAGCTGACAAAAAGTTTCCCCCCTGACCAAAAGAGAAGAAATTGAAAGGAATATAATTAAACTGGAGCTTTACCAGGGGATATAGGAACCCAAACACCCAAAAATTAAAACTTTAGGAAACAACAGGACTAATAAAACGACAAAGATCAAACAGAGGAAGCAGAAGGCCAGGAATTAATACCTTAGAATCAAAAGATAAACGGAGAGACAGTTATATAGTTTTATATTATAAGCGAAGTTTAGTTTCATTATAATTTCATATAAACGAAGATTCAACCTAAGCTGCTCCAAAGCTTTGTCAGCAGACAGGATCTAAAATCTCTAACCGCTTGAAATTTGTTACGTCATAGTGACGTCACACTTAATTGCATGCTCACCATTGATAAAAGTCAACATTTGATCTCTTACTACATTGCGCTAGATTAGGTTAAGAAAGGATAGATAGGGTTGAGATTGGTTAGGTAAGCTTAAATAGAAGTAGTCTTAAACTGACGTAGTCTTATACGACATCACTTAAAAGTGATGACGTATAAGCACTTATAGTCTTATACGTCACTTGTAGTCTTCTACGTCATCACTTAAAAGTGATGACGTATAAGCACTTATAGTCTTATACGTCACTTGTAGTCTTCTACGTCATCACTTAAAAGTGATGACGTATAAGCACTTATAGTCTTATACGTCACTTGTAGTCTTCTACGTCATCACTTAAAAGTGATGACGTATAAGCACTTATAGTCTTATACGTCACTTGTAGTCTTCTACGTCATCACTTAAAAGTGATGACGTATAAGCACTTATAGTCTTATACGTCACTTGTAGTCTTCTACGTCATCACTTAAAAGTGATGACGTATAAGCACTTATAGTCTTATACGTCACTTGTAGTCTTCTACGTCATCACTTAAAAGTGATGACGTATAAGCACTTATAGTCTTATACGTCACTTGTAGTCTTCTACGTCATCACTTAAAAGTGATGACGTATAAGACTACACACTTCTCGCAGGTCGTAGACTCTACTCGTACCAGGAGAAAAACAGGTGGCTAAATTGAGCTTAGAAAAGTACACGTAAATAAATAAAGAATAACAAGTGTGGCAAAGGAGAACGTGAACTGAGAACGAGTGGAATGAGAGAGAGAGAAGGAACGGTAGGTGAGGTTGACTCCACTCACAGTTTCATCGATAGATTACATAAAAAAAAATAATAAATAGCGAAATCATGCCTGTCACATACCTGCCGATGATTTCGACAAATCAACGTCCTACCGGCCTATTTTGGTCAACCAGATTGTTAGACGCGACTGCTCGCAGCCTGACATAAGAGCCACAGCCTGGTTGATCAGGTATCCCTTGCTAACACGTAAGTCCATTTATGTCAACATCAGTGATACATTCACTCCCTCACGCTATCGAAATGTACAAATATATTTGCAGCTAGATGAACATGCGATATCCATACTGGCCATTCCATAAATCGAAACTTCGTGAACGATAGAAACTCAAAAAATAATGTTAAATTCAGGACCAAATTTGGAATTTATATTTAAATTCAGTATTAATGATAATCTGTGTCTTTAAGAACTCGTAACTGGTACAATTATTTTTTTTTAAATACGTTGAAATATAAAAATTAGATAAAAAAACTACATATAATTATTTCGGAGTTAAAATAATTAATAGATGCGATACATTTGTGAATGAATAATGAAATAAAATATATTGTTGTCATAAAAACGAATGCCAAAGAAAAAATAGTTTCGCATTGAATAATTATTTGTTTTTACAGAAAGGAAATTTATGAAAAAACCATATTCTCTCTCTCTCTCTCTCTCTCTCTCTCTCTCTCTCTCTCTCTCTCTCTCTCTCTCTCTCTCTCTCTCTCTCTCTCTCTCTCTCTCTCTCTCTATATATATATATATATATATATATATACATATATATATATATATAAGAACATACAGATGTTCGAAGCTGTTTTCTTGCTTGAAATAAAAAAAACGAAAACAATTGTTTTATGCATTTGTTCATTTCTGTAGCTCGTGTTGATTCTTTGTGGCTTTTGGTGCAAGTTGAAACCAGATTCTTCTATTCTATATCTCTCCCTCTCGTTCTCTCTTTCCCCTCTCCCTCTGTCTCATTCATCCATCTTTCTCTCTCTCATTCTCTCTCTCTCTTCCCTATCTCTCTCTCTTACCTCCGGGTGGCAGAACAAAGAATACACATTGACCATGCGGAGCAGAATATACGCGAACAGAATGTATGACAAGAATATTTATGACGAAAACCGAACCAACATTGGACGGTGGACGATATTCACTGAAAACTGAGAGAGAGCAGAGCACCTGAATAATAGTTTAGAGAGAAATATGTTCGAAGTCATATGTCTGTGAGAGTAAATATTAACGATATCATGTGGATGTGTATATATATATACATATATATATATATATATATATATATATATATATATATATATATATATATATATATATATATATATATATATGTCGTACCTAGTAGCCAGAACGCACTTCTCAGCCTAATATGCAAGGCCCGATTTGCCTAATAAGCCACGTTTTCATGAATATATATATATATATATATATATATATATATATATATATATATATATATATATATATATATATATATATGTCCAGATACAATGAATAGAAATACAATGCGCGTAGTAGAATGTAGAATGAATACATGGATAGTAGAATGAATACATGGATAGGAATATGCGGACAGTTCAACAATAAATTAATTCGATTTAGACGAAATGAATACGCAAATAAGAATGCATGAACAAGAACGAATGGATAATATGCGGGGTATTAACCCATGAATAATATGCGGGTATTAACCCTTGGATAATATGACAATAAGAGCCCATGGAAAAAAAAAAATTACGCGGTTAGGTAATCGTGTTAAAGATATTAATGACTGGGAATATATGCTCGGAAAAGGATAGACTCACCTATAGTAATAGATGAATATGCACTCACCGGTATGCATATATTAAGACCTAAGTGGAGAAGAATGTGGAGGAGCCCCTCGAACGGTGCCGTAAGAATGCGAATATAAATGTGGAGAAAATATACAATAACAGAAAATATGAAGGAATAAGAGCGTGAGAGATAGAAATAAATGTGTGTGTGTGTGTGTGTGTGTGTGTGTGTGTGTGTGTGTGTGTGTGTGTGTGTGTGTGTGTGTGTGTGTGTGTGTGTGTGTGTGTGTGTTTTGCAGAGGGCGTTAAAATGTTAGTGTTTGAAACTCTGTGTGCTTTCTGGCTCCAGTGAGTGGTAAAGATTGGTGACTGGTTGTGTCCTTGTGGTGAGAGGCGAGAGAGGGGAGAAAGGGTGGGGGGGGGGGGGTTTAGAGAGGTGGAATGGGGGGGGGATAGAGATCAGGATGGTAGGTGGAGATACAGGACAGGAAGACAAATAAGGCTGGGATAGAAGACCGGGACGAGAAGAAGTAAAAATAAAAAGATAAACAAAATGAAAGAATGCATAGATTATACATATACACAAACACAGTCACAATATTTACCGCCAGCAGTGTTCCCAGACCACCATGACCTCTAAAACATTTTTTTCTTCTCTCTCTTTTTGCCAGCTGTGAGCGCTTCTGACGGGGTAATGGAAGGTGAGGATCAGGCAGCAATGGAAACAGCATCAGCTGGGTTCCCCACCACAGCTGAGGGCACCATGACCGATTACAACATACCCACGTACCCCCCGGACCCAAAAGAGAGCATGGAACACGCCCCCAACCCTCTGGAGGCCCACCAGGTGTCGTTTCCGGGCAGGGTGTCAGCCACCGAGCCCTACATCGACCCTGCAACCCCACTGAAGGTCCGCGCCTACGCTGGTACAACTGCCTTCATGCCCTGCATAGTTAACAACCTTGGACAGCGCTCGGTGAGTAGAGAGAGAGAGAGAGAGAGAGAGAGAGAGAGAGAGAGAGAGAGAGAGACAGACAGACAGACAGACAGACAGACAGACAGACAGACAGACAGACAGACAGACAGACAGACAGACAGACAGAGAGGCTTGAAACCCTCAATGCAAGTAAAAATCTTTTTCCTCCTAATTTGTAAAAAAAACACTTTAATTCATTTTCGATAACACCTTTCACGGGCTTCAGTTATATGAAATTACCTATCAGTATTTACATATCAGTGTCTAAGGGGAGAATGGTCTAGTTCTTTGTGCCCCGCCCTGTGCACAGTCTCATATTTTATCACCCATAAATCCCAACTTAAATTTTTTCGCGCACGCACTCACACACACACACACACACACACACACACACACACACACACACACACACACACACACACACACACACACACACACACACACACTCACACACACACACACACACACACACACACACACACACACACACACACACACACACACACACACACACACACACACACACTCTCTCTCTCTCACACACAAGTTCGCCTTACCAGGGCGTCTCAGTCATCTCTAAACATATTTTAACTAAATATTTTCAACACTTCATCACGTATAGCAAAATTCTCCTTATTCGAGTCATTTCCACACACATACGTGTTTTGTTTACTTATATCAGATCTATTGTTTACCTTTTGGATATTTTCGTGTTTGTATTTTTAATATGTCCAATCTACCAAATATAATCACATTAACCTACAGTATTTTTTCACGTACTGTATAATTTATTTTGAGGAGTTTTAAGTTACACACAAAGTCTAAGGCTTTATGGATCTAAAGTAAAGAGTGTAACTAATTATAATATCTACCACTCAAAGTACAAGACTTTCTGGATCTAAAAAAATATATCTAAATAGATTTTCCACTGCATAATATCATTCAGTCTCCTCATTAAAGTAAGCGAACCACACTGGAATACACAAAAATGAAAAAAGATATCTTTTCTTGTAACAGTTTGCACTCCACAAAAGACCAGAGCTGTTCTGTAACTTTAAAACTTTGCTTCTATATACCTGCGACATAAAGGCTCTTATCACCAATAATTTTTCTTGTTGGTCGTTGTGATAAAATGAGACTGAACCCACAGATTTAACCGGCCCTTACATTTCCATAATTCCTTCCCACGCCATGAGAAGAAACATATCGCTTCATCCGGTCACTATCATGTCATGAGGAGCAACATATCGCTTTAGCCGGCCCTTACCAAGATAATAAAAGAAAATAACTTTATCCAGCAATTTACAATACCACGAGACGTAACACACTGTTTTAACCAACTCTTAACATATCCTGGAGGGCAGCATACTTCTTCAGTCCGCCCTGCCAATATATGCAACATCCCATCTTAACTGGCCTTAAACCACAATGACCACCTATCCACTGTCTTATCTAGTCCTCGGGCACGTTTATAACTAGCCTACCGTCTTAACCGGCTCATACCGCGCCATGAGAACCAAGACAATGTTCTTAACCGGCCCTTTCCGCGCGAACTGTACCATCCAACGTCTTAACCGTCTCTTAACGCTAGATAAGAACCAATCAAAACGTCTTAATCGGGTCTTAAAACACGATAAGTGGAGCAGGGATAAGATTTTCACATCCTGACTTCACCGCACTTACATTAAGAGGAATTGTGGTGCCAGTATTCTCCCAAGCGTCACGGGCACTAGTAGCTACCAGTGTCTACGGGAAAGTGAGGTCTAACTTCCCTTTCACCTGGACTGGAGGAATCTCGAGCCGCGGACCCCAACGGTGTGAGGCCGAAGCTGTATCGACTAAATCTTCGTGTAAGTCGACAGAGCTTTGGCCCTCACAATTTATATGTTATCTTTATACATGGCTCTTTATGCCCTGCCTACTAGCCTCGTTCTTCTTGTTGCGTTGCAGTTTAATTATTCTGACGAACAAATTAATTTCAGAAGCTGGCCTTAATGTTGTGGATGGAGGTGGCTTCCACAGCTTCGTCTTTTAAAGCATACTAGTTGTTGACAACCCGGACAGGGTACGAGTACTTACTTACGCTCTTTCGGCCCATTTGCGTTTACAGCTTCCATTTGTGTCCTCTTGGCTGACGTTCTCTCAATCTGAAGAGGCTATCCTTGTCCACCGTATCTATTTCCTTCAGTATCTTGCATGTTGGGGTTATATCTCCTCTGCTTCTTTTATCCTCTAAGGTTGTGAGATTTAGTTCCATAGTGTGTGGTGGTTTGGTGGTGACATATGTGTGTGTGTGTGGTCGTGAGATGACACATGTATCGTGGTATAATGCCACAAGTGTCTTTCTCTTTTTTTTTTTAACTAAGACTAAGGTTCATGAGGGCAGTCAAATGACGGGTATAGTAAAACTGCAAGCATGAGCTGTTATCCTACCTCAGTTCATCCTGTTCTTAGAAACTCATTTACTTCATGAGAATGAACTTTGAAACTATCACATAGGAAATCATATAAGGAACCTGGTGAAACTGCAAGCTCTCTCTCTCTCTCTTTCTCTCTCATCCTCCTACTTGAGCAATTATCACCTCCCTGGTTCCAGACTTCCGAGTGCTTATCTTCCTCTGGGGGTTTCCTGTGGTTGAGCTGGACTCTTTATCTCCCAGGCTGTTTCACTGTACACGGCTGGCCAGGTCAGACCAAGTCGCTCACAGGCCACGTAGATCTCCACTCATACACACACTGACATGTCAGTTCAAGTCCCACAGTAAGGTTATAGGTTAGGTTCTGTCTTAAGTTGCATCATACGTGACAAATCTTGTACATAAATTAGTTCTACTAATGTGATAAATAAACATTTCTCAGTATTGTCAGAGTATAAGCTGCTGATAACCTTACTGTGAATAACTTTGGTGTTAGTTTATACGAAAATTTAGAATAAATAATTGCGTGTTCATAATAGATATGCACAATTTTGTTTACAATTTTTTGGTTTGCTGATATAAGCCATTTTTTTTTTAACGAAACATATTCAATCTTTACCATTCTTTCACCCCCGTCCCATCCATAATCCTAATCCTGAACCTTTCCGAGTGCTATATAGTCGTGATGTGATGACCAGACCACACACTAGAAGGTGAAGGGACGACGACGTTTCGGTCCGTCCTGGACCATTCTGAAGTCGATCGACTTGAGAATGGTCCCGGACGGACCGAAACGTCGTCGTCCCTTCACCTTCTAGTGTGTGGTCTGGTCAACGTACTTCAGCCACGTTATTGTAACTCATCGCCTGCTAGTCGTGATGTCTTGACGTTTCCCCTGATAGTTCCCTTCCCCCTGAGCAGCGGTGTGATGTATAGGGCAAATGAGAGTGAAACTGACCTTACTACAGCTGTCAATTACACCAACCTAACACCTGTAACGATGTAAAAATCCTTGAAGAAAATTCCAAAGTTGGAGCAACGATAGTTTCATTAACGTATATTCTGACACACAAGGGAAAACACAATATCCCGATGTATCTATGAGAAAATCATTGCAGTAGTACGAGGTTCGAACCATCGACGTGGGTACCCGCAGGCGCGCGTCTCCGATGCCCCAGGCATGCGTCTAAGGACACCAAGGACACTGGTTCGATCCCCATCCTGTTCCAACGATTTTCTCGTATAAGCTGATCTGCTTGCGTCTATAGTTGCCTTTCGGGCTATGTATCCTACAGTATTTCACCTTCTAATATAGATTCCTCTGTTCGGGGGTTTTATCCTCAAAAACATCGTTACTCAGGTAACGATGTTGCGGAGTGTTGGACCCTTATCAAATCATGACAGACGAAGGTTATTAGGCAGGCAAAGGGGTTATTTCTCTCAGCAACGTTGATGTAACTTATTTTCTATAAATATTGTTGACGTAGCCTTTATCCTACGAGAATCGTTACCTGTGTACGATCTGGTGTACCTTTACAGAACTCCCCAAATCGCTTCTGTCTGAGAGAAATAGTACAGAAATACCTTCACAGGTGTTGGAGCTTACGTAGTGCGTTGTACTGGGGCGAATAACATAATTGAACAATTAAATTTGTTAAATTAAGCTCCTAAAAATTATTTGAACATTAAACTCCATTTCTCCTCCTGCTCTCTGTCCTGAATCCCGAAGACCAGAAGTAATGATTCAATGTATCCTTAAAGAGTTTGTTGAAAATTTACGGAGCTGATTAGGCTTAATATTCATGATTCCGTTGGTGAGTTTCCAGGACCTGGATGATTCGAAGTCCATAAATCAGCAGTGTTATCCGGAGAAAATTCGATAAAGCGGAAGATTCTGTCAGAGGAATTTCAATACCTTTTGCATCCATCCAGCCTTATTGAAATGAACGAAAGCCTTGGCTCGCCAAGCATTCTGGTCCCAAAGGTAGTAAATAATGGCTTTTTGAACACAGATTTTCTAAAAGAAAATGTAGCGGTGTGGCTTGGTATTAAGCTTAAGGCCTATCAGCCTTTAGAGCAATGGTTCAAAACCTCGTTTCGGTCATTACCCATTTTTCATACAGCGTCCTTATTAATGGCTCTTACACTCACTAAAGAACCCCGTCTGGAATCCTCTGGCATCATAACCTGGTCACTGCCTCAACTTACGGCCTCTTATATATTGAAAAACGGCCCA